ACATCAGTCTGTTCATTTCTTCATTACTTATCGTATTTTTGCCTGTTCTATTAATACCGCGGCATTTTTTTCGGTCTTTAAGACGAAATTTTGTTTAGGCTGCTTACTGGATTCCAAGAATCTTTCATCTTACGTTTATATCGCGAAAAGAAAGCTGACGGTTTCGTTAAAGCATTCAGGTAATAATTAGCTTCTGGTCATCGAACTATCACTCTAACATGTGTGAATTCAAACAACACTGCATATTACAGCGATAATCCTGGAGCGTTATCGGGCATGGGGCTGTTACAGCGACTTGTCAATCGTTTATATGTTCGAAGAGTCCGGCTTCTACCGAGGTTTGATGTGGATGTGAAGAGGATATTGGATTCATGTTCCGTAAGTGTGCTGTTTTCATATTTTACTTGGGCTAAGGAGGGGGTGGGGTGCGTTTTGCAATTCTTTCTGAGAAAACAAAAAGAAAACGGCAGCAAGCTGGCATCCAAACAATTTAGGTTTAGTCAGAGCAACTACTGGAAAAGCTGTTTGTCGAAAAAGTGCCGATTACAACCAGCTAAAGCAAGTGGTACATTTTGCAACACAATTATTCGTAATCGAAATTGCAGCTGTACAGTGGTTTCTTCATGCATTTCTTGTCATCATACTTTATTCCTAGTCGGCATGGTGTTTGATCGAACCCAGAAGTTGACGTTTTGGGGCAAAATGTTAATGTGCAATACACATCAAGGAATTCTCGAAACGGCCTAGATCTTGCCAAGTGCTTCTGCCCCGAAAAAGGTGAAATTGCCGATCACCTACAGGAAGCGAAACGAATGTTAAGACCCAGTTAGACTGACTACCAGACGTAGCAGCACCGGCCAAAGAAATTGGAAAGATTAGTAGCTGCAGTGTTGAATAGCCAGGTTATGAATTATAGCGGGACGAGGTATTTCAAATAAGTGGAATGCATTATATGTGTATGGGTAAGTGTCAGACTGACCGAATTCTGTTAGTTGTTTAAAGAAAAGTGTATTTTTCAGCCACATATGATCGAAATCTCACCCGATCTACCGCATTCGCTGCGAAGAGTTCAGTCACTTTTGGTTGATATCATACGAACATGCGTTCGGGAACTAAAACAGACGACATCTTCAACAGATGTAAGTTCTAACTATTGCAAATCCGCGTTGTCTTTTTATGCCCCCATTTATCTCAAAAACTGCTTTCATTTGTTGATCCGTGAGCTGATTCAGATTAAGAGGGAGTAGCACTGTGCAAATCGGGGTACTCGGTTCAGCTTTCTTCACAAGGATATTTGAATGACATTAAAGCAACATACCAGAGGCTGGGCAGTAAATAAGTATTCACCCTTATTACAGTGGTAGAGGCAAAATGAGGATTTGAAGTAATAGTTGACTGTTAATTAGTGTTGCTTATTTTATGCAAGTCTATTTCGTTTCACTACATCTAATACACAGTTCGCAACAGTTTTAAACCCGTCATTTTGCGTTAAAATGCTCCGAAGCAGCTCACTGCGCAATTTTTGCATTAATTTACTGCACGGCCGATTCATTCCGTGAGGCTTCACCCTAAAACTGACGCTTGGCATCCTAGTAGTAACATAATCGACGGAGTTCTGTTTTGTAACTGAGTATGGAACTGGTGAAGAATCGAATCTCTCGTCTTCACATGCAAGCTACCGCATTACCAACCGCTACACGTTAGAAACAACCTGAGAGCATTTCTGTTGTATTTATTTGCTCCTTATTAGGCAATATACATTTGTACTGACTTTTTTTTGGCTTTTTGCGGATTTCCGCCACAAGTAAAGCTGGCTACCATCAAAAATTCTTATCCTTATCTGCGACGTTACTGTATATAGTGACAGCACAGGAGTCTGCGACAGAAGCAGCGACAGTAGCATCCGCCTATTGCTTGTAGCGTTTAGGTTATTGTCGTGATCCAGCAACTGTCTGTTTGACAGGCATATATTGCATTAGTCGCATGTCGCAGCCCGGTTTGAAATTGTTTGTCAGAATCTGATATGAAGTTCCTAAAAAATGGCTGTTGTTAATCATGTATAGAATAGCTGTTCAAATGATCAGTACGTTAAAGATTTCGAGTTGCATTAATGTAGGCATTCACAAACAAATGCCAAATTTCCCGAATGTGACAGCCCTTGTAAAGATTATAGTTCCGAGGCCGGTTTTTTTAGGATGCAACTGAGGATGAAAGTGTACAACCATCCGCAGGACTGTTACCTTCTCAGTTGGAAATTCTTTTAAAAGGACGGCAGTTCTCAACAACTGAAAAACAG